GAGAGAGAGAGAGAGAGAGAGAGAGAGAGAGAGAGAGGGGAGATTTTTTTAAATATATATTTTTTCATAATGTTGACAATCTTTCCGACACTGACAGCAAAAGTTGACACTATACACTTTCCTAAACATTCTGCTTGTACTTTTGTCCATCACTCCCGTGCCTTGTACTTTTGTCCATCACTCCCGTGCCTTGTACTTTTGTCCTTTACTCCCGTGCCTTGTACTATTTTCCATCACTCGCGTTCCTTGTACTATTGTCCAACACTCCCATGCCTTGTACTATTGTCCATCACTCCCGTGCCTTGTACTATTGTACATCACTCCCGTGCCTTGTACTATTGTCCTTTACTCCCGTGCCTTGTACTATTGTCCATCACTCGCGTTCCTTGTACTATTGTCCATCACTCCCATGCCTTGTACTATTGTCCATCACTCCCATGCCTTGTACTATTGTACATCACTCCCAAGCCTTGTACTATTGTCCATCACTCCCATGCCTTGTACTATTGTCCATCACTCCCATGCCTTGTACTATTGTCCATCACTCCCGTGACTTGTACTATTGTACATCACTCCCGTGCCTTGTACTATTTTCCATCACTCCCGTGCCTTGTACTATTGTCCTTTACTCCCGTGCCTTGTACTATTGTGCATCACTCGCGTTCCTTGTACTATTGTACATCACTCCCGTGCCTTGTTCTATTGTCCATCACTCCCGTGCCTTTTACTATTGTCCATCACTCCCGTGCCTTGTACTATTGTCCATCACTCCCGTGCCTTGGTTTGCTTCCTCTTGTCATTCCGTTCTTCCTTGCATACTCGTTTCTCTTGTGCCGTCAGCATCGGAAAAGATTGGTACAAAAACATTTAAACTTATATACAACCTGATTTTTAACTATAACACAGAGAGATAGAAAGAAGGGAAGGGAGCGGAGTGGGTTAAAATCTGTTAGAATCATGAATATTTTGCTGAGTATGCATGAAGACTAATTCATTTTCCTGCTCAGATAAATTTGTATCTCCAAAAAGGAGTAGATTAACGGTGAGACCGGTAGTTAATGCTAACAAATATTTTTGACTCCATACATCCACTGATTTGAAACCTTCTTCTGATTTCTTGAGGCAATCCAACAGATCAATAAAAATGTTTTTGACATTGCTATTAACAAGTGTTGCTAGATCGATTAAAACTCTGAGATGTCCATCATGCATGATCTTAAATTATTCCAAAGTATCCATTTATTTTGTTGTCCAGTTCATATAAGAAAAGAGAGAGATACGCTATATGGGTCTTGTAATCCTGTGCTGACTGTCTTCATTACAATTCAGTGTTCCAGCTAGGATTTGAAAAGGGTAGAGCGCTGACCAGAAAAAGGGCACTTTTTAGCGTGCACCATGCTTTTTAAAGGTCGATTTTTAGCGCGAGAGCAATTGTTTCGACTGCCCAGCATATAACATCATGATCACTTTTTAACAGAATGATTTACATATAGACCATGCATATGCTACGCTCTTCCAAAAAGATTCCCTGTTATGCATGTGTAAAAAAAAACTCAGCCGTGTGTGACTTATAAGTTATCTTGGGCGAACTTGCGATGTCGCACTACGTTACCCACGTACAATATACCCAGTAACTGTGACGTCAGTTTCTATGAAAAAATAATGTCCCTTAAAAAATGGAATGGAGTAATAACAGATAAACAAATCTATGAAATGTGTATGTTTAGAGTTTTGCATCATTACAATAGCTCAGAAAAGAAAGTCGAAGGAAAAAAAACTAGATAAAAGTACAAAATATCTCAATATGGACGGCAGATTGATTTTTGCTATTTATATATCCCTATGCAGATGATATCTAGATGAGTGATTTGATATCACCAATTCTTGATTCGCAAGTATTTCTGGTGTGGTTTGAAAACAACGAACCAGGGCAGGGTTCAATATGGGGTTAGGGCAACTGAGGGGAGACCGGGGCAAGTTCGGGCAAGAGGTAACTCCGGCCACTCCTGATTTTTTTATCTTGAGCAAACATACGAAACAAAATGGCGGTAAAAAATTAATTTTAGCTAACTAAAGTGGGGAAAAGTATTATTTTTGGGAGGGTAGAAAGAAAATGATGACCTCAATTCTTTCTAGTTTTGCATTTTTTTTTGTACATAATAAAAAGTAATTATGAATGAAAGGTTCTTATATACCGCTTTATCACAACCTAGTTCGTAGGTCGTCTCAAAGCGGTTCACAAATTATTATCCATGGTTATAGGGCCTTTGCAACCAGCCAATATATTTCTCAACTCCTTGGGGAACATACAGCTGGAGCTGCCATTTCGGCGCTTACAACTAGCATTCAATAATTCTAGCACTGCCCAACCACATACCCATTTACAGCTGAGTAGACTGGAACAAGCGGAGTAAAGTATCTTGCTCAAAGATACAACATTGAGAGCCATAACTCAAAACCGCAACCCTAAAGTTCGGTCACGAGCCCGGCGCCCTACCGCTAGACTACCGTAAACCGAAATGCTATTTTTTGATGTCATACGTGTAACAAACCGACAGATTCACATGATGGTAAAAGCCTAGTTTCGTAATGGTATGATATACATATTTCGTAATATATCAATGTGGGTCAAGTTCATCCTATATGACACCCGGGCAGGTTCGGCCCATGCCATACGCAGCAAGCCTTGAAATTAGCGGAAAACATACTTTACGACGTCATAAGTATGCTAATTCCAATGTGGGCCGAACTTACCCCAGACATCCTGTCCGAATTTACGTCAAGGCGGTGCACATTAGGCCCTACACTCTTCCGACAGTAAAGGGTTAAATAATTTTTCAAATGCGGACACGTTTGCCATTTTGTTCTAGTGTTATGAAGGGCATGGAATTTCTCTTCTGGACAGCATTTGTTAAAATATCCCAAAATGTTGACTTTAATGAAAATGGGTCAAACTTGCCCCTGTCTACCCGATATTTTGAAAGAAAGCCCAATAGACCGGCAGGGGTTTGGGGGGGGATGAGGATTTCTTAGCTATCCCCCCCCCCCCTCCACAATTTTCATGTGTGCCCGCTTACTAGGTCTCACCTATTTCATATTATTTAATGACAACAATTAGGCATACGAACTAAAACGTCATTTGGTTATGTTGAACTTGTTCTTTAGCTATTAAAGTGGTACATAGAAAGGGTGATTTAGACTATAACAAGGCATTAAGGTCGATGATAAAAAAAGTTCACCGGCATTGACGTCTTTTGCGACCCAATTGAATGTAAAGTAATGACATTTTATCTTAAGATATACTAAGGTCATGGGGAGCAAAATTGTTTTTGTCTTCATAAAAATAGTTCACCGGCATTCACCTCCGAATTGAATGTCAAGAAATGACATTATATCTAAAGATGTTTCATCCCAAGGTCATGGGTGCATAATTTCTCTTTTTGTTACTACATGGTTGTGACTTTGTTAAACAGTAAAAAGCATAGTGCATTTATAAATGTAAATATAATAATAATAATATCTCTTATTTATCCAGGGTTACATATTTAGACAATGTCTAGTTTACAATATGGCCCGTAAAACCACGGAACTTGTGACCACGATGGTTAAATGACCTTTACGTAAGGTTTTATTGGTAACATTTCGTGTGATTGTTTAAAACGCTAGACATGTTATAAACATTATACCACTTTATAGCATGTCTTGTCCATTTATATCACCACAGAATGTTATGAAGTGGCACGACATCTTAAGTTAATGTATCAATCTAGGAGAAATAGATAGCCTACAATACATTCCAAATTCAGTACTTTTTTTAACTCATCAAACCCTTTAAATATCTATCCTTCTAAGTACAGGTATCATGACAGGTCTATACAGGCCTGTCTGTCCTTTTTTATAACTGAATACCCTTATCTTATATGAAATTATTATACTACCCTTGTTATCACCCACTGCACCTGTAAATAATTTTCACTAGTTATTGAGAAACAAGTCTTCTTCAATACCTCCTAATGCAACCGGAAGTGAAGTGGACAGAATTAAGAAGCACCTCAAGAAGCGACTGACGCTTACAACGGTGTCATAATCAATGAACCAATGAACCAATACATTATTGGATCATTTAACTGTGATTTAAGTGGTTTTGCATGGCAACATCCATCTTGATTTGAGATAGATCTGTCTATCGATAGCTAGTTAAAGAGAAATGAAACACTGCATGACATAGCTATATCAATTCACTTTAGGTAATATGTCATTTCGTAGCATTCAGATCGGTCTCAAAGCTTTAATAACACTGACAAAGTTATAATGCCACTTGACACTAAATATTCAATAATTACATGATATGTACAACATAAATTATACTGCTATTAATATAATATCAAACTGCTATGGTAATTTATACAAGCAACAAGTTTAATATATCCAAATTATGTATCTGAATTCAATTTTTTGAATTGGGTATTTTAAAATGACCGAACTTTGAGGTACTTCTTTCTTAAGGTACACATAGGCACGGAATTAGTCTAAGTCCGTGATGTAGGGTACCAACAAGTTTTAAAAGCTATTTTAATCACCATTAATATTGTCACTAGCATGAAATATTTCTTTGAATTCCGATCGAGATTTCAGAAATAATCAACATATGCTCACGTATCATGGAGGAGTATAACTAATTACCTCAGGCCGCTTTTTTTCCGACGTTTTTTGTTTAATTCTGCGATATAAATTCACCATTATGAACAAACATATGTTGACTCTTTCTATTCTACCATATCAAATTAGATTGTCTGGCCCTTCGGGTCTTCTTCAATGCCTACAATGCATCGTGAAATAGATTACCTAACATGTAAAATAGATTACCTAACATGTAAATTAGGCTGTTCTCTTGCACGCGCAAGCGTGTGCTGATCACTGACGTCATAGTTTCTGGGGGTAATGTAGTGCGACATCGCAGATTCGCCCAAGAGTTTTTTTTACACCTGCATAACAGGGAGTCTTTTTGGAAGAGCGTTGCATGTGCATGGTCTATATGAAAATAAGACAAAGGATATCATCTCTTGGATATGCCTAGCAGGTAACGGAGTGAGAAGTAGGATTGTACGGAGAGTCAAATTATTAGAAGTAAGTTACAGTGTAATTGACACGTCTTATTCAACACTGGTTAGAGATTTAACACGGCAAAGATCATGACAGGCAGCGGCGGATCCAGAGGTTTTTTGGGGGCTTCAAGAATCCCCCGACCCTGAGAAATATCTTTAGAAATCATGTATTTTCAACATTTTCCTCACTTTTTCCCCCGCATGGACCCCCCCCCCCCCCCCCCCAAAAAAAATAGGTCTCTGGATCCGCCACTGACAGACTCTGTGTAAAGGTGTAGTCGGCATTATCGATATCATGTCCGACAAAAAAGAAGCTGACCAGCGACCCCTTATATGTTTTGTAGGAGTCAACTTATAGTTATGTATACGTCTCTGATTTTATATATGATTGTATTATCATCCTTATGAACTTTGACAAAACCTGAGGTTTCATCTTTCAGCACAGCTGAGAATTCGTGATTTGTTTTTTGCGTAAGAAACCAACACTATGAATCGTAGCATAATGTAGGCGCAACTCTGTAATTTTTATTGCATCATCGTTTTTTCGATTGAGCAACAGACTTCTTTTCATTATCAGATAAATCAGAACTATTTTATTTTTGGCCCCTAACCAGAGAAATCTAAGCCATTGAAATATATACGTCTCTGCCCTAACTAGGCTAATAATATTTGGCCCCTTGACCAGGCTAGTAATTATTTGCCCTCATAACCTGACAAGTAATAGTTGGCTTCTTTGTCAGGCTAAATTTGTTTGGAACCCTTTACCAGGCTTGTATTAGCAGGTCCCTTAACCAGGAAAGCAATTGTTTGGCCCGTTAACCTGGCTGGTTCTAGTTGTCTTATTTGTAAGGGTGGTAGCTTTTGGCCACTTAACCAGGCTTGTATTAATTAGTTTGTCCCTTAACCAGGAAAACAACATTTTGGTCCCTTGACCTAGCTAGTAATAGTTGGCCAGGGTTAACGTTAGACACTTAACTTTTTTGCGTGGTAGTCCACAGGACTAGTTGAACAGATTATTTACTAGTTCTATGTAGCTAATTCCAAAGTTTGCGATCTTACAACAGCAGGAAACATCAAAAGTAGGGGACAAGTCTCTGCATGGGCCAACTTGTATAAAACATCTCAACTCTTGAGATTTCCTCAAGTCTAAAATTTCCCATAGACAATACGTATACATTGCTTGAGATTTTCCTTAACTTTGAGATGTTTTATACAAGTGGGACTTAAAATAGTTATAGGAAAGTTTTGAGAATTATCATGCAATATATCTTATTTTAAGCAGTTTTCTAAATTTTAAAAGGAGTATTCTTAATTTATAATAGCATTTTTCACAAGTCCAAAGGACCAGTTAGGTGATTCACTAGTCCTTGCTGAAATCTGCTAGTCCAGGACTAGCAGACTAGTGTTAGTGTCGACCCCTGATTGGCTCCTTAATTTGTCAGACTAGAAATGGTTTGGCCCATTTACCAGGGTAGTTTTTGCCCCCTTAATACCTTGTTTTGGTAGTAAATAGTAAATAGTGTATTTTTGAGAAAGCCTGTTGTATTGTGAAGTAAATGTGTAGGTCCTCTACATATGGCCTCAATATGTGGAAAAGGTAAATTTGATCTTTAATCATAATTATTTTCCCCTGAATTTTACCGTGTTGTGGATTTGCATCAAAAACTTTTCATACTTGGAATATGTCTTGTTTGTTTCATCTTTCTCATCTTACAACAGTCCTACAAGGTATGGTGTTCTTTTCAGACAAAGCCTCTTTCTTGCTGGAAAATCAGTTTTCAATGCGTGGTGACAGTGTTTGGCAGTGGTGTGTGGGTCCTTAAAAAGTTGCAATGTTTTTCAGGTAAGTTTTTGAAATAAATATAAAAGTTATGCTTTACAGTCGAAATTCCATAAATCGAACTTCGATGATTCGAACTTCCCGATGTGTAGAACTTACGGCAATGTCCAGAATTTTCCCGTTATATATAACACTACAAATATGCTTCTCTAGAATTTCTCGCTGTTTTGAAGTATAATCAAGAAGGCCCAATTGTTATGAAAACATTGACAATTATAACTAATAAATCGAAGTGAAATAATCACCTGTGCTAGAACATTGAAATGTGCCGTGGTTATTTTAATAACACAGGCTTCGAAATTTAATTGACAGACAAAAGTTAAAGTTGATAACAAATCCAATATTTATATTTAAAGTTAAATGTCATAGCCTGATGTGTTTCGTCACATATTTTCAGAATCACATTCGGTCTTATTTACAGGATCAGGATCTAATATTCTTGAGTGGAAGTCCCAATGTTTTAATTTTTTCCAGATAGTCCCGCAAAGTTCGGAACATCGTTTGAAACATCGTTTGAATAGTTGAAAATAGTGAATAGACTATCACTAGTTCCGTTTGCATGGAGAAGGAAAAATCACATGGTTCAAGATAAACTGATATTTTATTACCTTATACATTATGAAAGTCAGCGTTGCTATATTATCATACATCAGACTGTTATTCTAAGGATTACTCTCTCTCTCCCACCTGTCGTGTTCTCATATCTAATAAAGAACTCAAAGCTTTTGCTTCGTGTCTGGTTTTAATCAGCCATTATAGTAAACTTTACAATGCCCAGATGTTCCCAGGTAAGTACAGTCGATATACATGTATATAATTACTAAAAGGCTCAACAGGCCAAACTAACCAATAAGTCAAAAGACGACACCCCCCGTCTCTCTCTGTCTCTCTTCCCACACCTCTGTGTCTCTCTCTGTCTCTCAATTAAAGCCAATGTAAATATATAATATACCATCTTGAAAATTTGTATTAATATATTGTAGGGAAAGGGCTTAATATAAGTTGTTAAACTTGTGCCCAACTCCTATTGTATATATATTAAATTACAATAAAGTATGTTTAAAACAAAACGAAGTTTGACTGTTTATAAACTTTTGACTGTCTGTAAGTTTTTACTCACTTGCGCTATGGAAAGGAGTCCATCATCGGTATTCTCTTTGTTGTCCTGTGTCAACTTTTCCCCTTTAAAATACATTTTCTAAATAACTTAAAGAAGCCTAAGGTCATGCTAGCTATTAGGCCAGTTACACTATTGGCTATTAAATGATGACATTGACCCATGCTCAAGGTCACAGAAGTCTTGCATTAATTTTGGAATAAGATTTCTTATCACAAGGATACAAATTGATTTTGAAATGAAAAACAAATGACTTAATACATTTTTGTTGTTGCCTTTTGAACTATTTAAAAAATGCTGAGATTGTGAGGACATTGCTTGGTCGACATGTATCTATCCAAACTCTCTGTAACTGGCTGCCATTAGCCCGATCATATTAAGCACCATAATGTATTCCAGGCCAGACATTAATAAGGCCTGCTATGTTATGAATAATATTTACTCTTATTATTATTATGTTATTTAAATGTATTCATCCTAAGTAGTTGGGTAATGGCCCTACCCAAACCTGGGTAACCTATACGCTTAGTGCTGGGCAATCAGTTTAAAATCATAATTATGTCTCCCAAACGTAGTGGGGGACATATTGTGTTTGCTCCGTTTCTTATTATTGGATTTTGATAGTGAAAGTTTGTTATCGTTATTTCTCGGTGAGTAACAGAGGGATCTTTCTTAAATTTTATATGTAGGTTCCCCTTGGTCCATATAGCTGTGCAGGGCGACTTTTGAGACTGATCGGATAAACAACATGGCCAACAGGCAGCCATCTTTGATTTTGATAGTGAAAGTTTGTTATCGCTATTTTTCGGGAAGTACGTGAGGGATCTTACTAAATTTTATATGTAGGTTCCCCTTGTTCTCTTAATGTGCAGCAGTGCCTGAAATGGACGGTCGCCCGCTCGCCAATGGCGATTAAAGTCTTGCTTGAGCAACCAAAAGTTGTCAAAAGTGAGGTAGTCACTGGCCCAACAAAAATAGTTTGGGCGACTAATTAGATTAATGAATAAAAGAAATTATAGTCCCTTCCACATTAACTGGGGGGGGGGGGGCAGTACATTTTTCAGTTGTCATTACTTCGATTTGAATCGAACTGTCCGTGATTTAGAAAATGTGATGATTTTTTTTCTGATTTTCTATATAAATACTGCCAGGGTGTCTTCTTTGAGGTGCAAGTTTTGTGTATTTAATTTTGGGAAGACCTGAATGGAGTGGATCATGTCAGGTTTTAACTAGGGTTGAATAATTAAAAATATAATGTTTTATTCTGTTTTGCATTCTGTTTTGCATATTACAAACATTGTCATGTTATATGTAATTTAAATGTGCTGAAGCATTGTGTTAAATGCTGTGGAAATATTTCTTCTCAAAATTATTTGGGCATGAGGGATATTTCTCAAATTTGATATGCAGGTTCCCCTTGTTCCCTTGTTGTGCATGTTATATTTTGTGACTGATCATAAAAACAAAATGGCTGCAGGAAGAACTAAACAGATCTTTATCACATATTGCAATGATCGATTCTATTTCTTTCACATTAAGTACTGTACTAGTAAATATGTGAAATGGCAAACTCACTTTGAAGGTTGGCTTTCATACACATCAGTATTAAGTTTACATCAAAAGTTACCTCAATGTGCATTTAGTGTTAACATGACTCGATCAAACAGATTAGAGGAAAGAAGAGAAAGGATCTAACTGACGAAGAACTAATAAAGATGGTACAAAGGTGGGCGCCAATATCCCTCTGGGATCTCTTGTTCTTCTTCCGCCGTTAAATTTTGTCAGCACGTTTTCTCACAAACTATTCATTGGATTCCAATGAAACTTCACATGAGTATTGGGACATGGCGCCCCTATTAATGAGATATAAATTATTATGAGTTCGTGAAAATATCACATACAAAAAGCATGATTTGGGAAAATAAAGTGATTTTTGCAATGATTTGGGAAATACTTTGGAAATTATGTAGGGGAAGGGCCCGCCTCTATAAGTATAAGGCTCCAAATTCACAAAAATAAAATCATGGACTGGAGCACCAGATTACCACCAAATGATATAGATAGTATTGCAATACTGGGTTCAAAACTAGACACATTTTGGGAAAACAACAAGAAATGTACCTTGTCTGCTGTTATATTCCCCTCAAAGTTTTGGATCTCAGAAAATGCACAAAAAGCATCCTATGTGCAGGTATCTATATATATATATATAGTGTCCTTCATACCAACAACACTTGATTGATTTTGGTTGTCAGTTTGCACAGTGGATAGCATACTTGCCTTTCACCAAGTTGACCAGGGTTCAATTTCCAAATTAGTCATGAAAGTTCATTTACTATGCATGCATGTTATTACATTGTGATGCTCCTATAAGCTGTACTGATTTTGGAATAGTCTTAATTGAATTGAATAGAGTCATGAAAAGATAATGAGTCACCTGTGAAAACACTCTTGTGTCAATACAAGAGTTCCTTCCCTTGCACTGTCATATATGCTCAACATCACCTGCCTGTAGCAGGGACATTATTTAAGTGTAGTTTTATTAGCTCAAGTGCCCGAAGGGCAAGAGAGCTTATGTTATGGTGCGGCGTCCGTCGTCCGTCTGTCCGGCGTCAACTTTATACTTTAAACAACTTCTCAATAACCAAAAGGCCAAGGGTACTGATAATGGGCCTGTAGCATGCTGGGATGAAGGGCTACAAAGTTTGTTCAAATGAATGACCTTGACCCACTTTCAAGGTCACTGGGGTTAGATGTCTTAAAATCTTCAAACAACTTCTTCTCAATAACCAAAATGCCCAGGGTGATGATATTTGGCCAGCAGCATGCTGGGGTAAAGGGCTATCAAGTTTGTTCAAATGGTTGGCCTTCACCCATATGCAAGGTCACAGGGTTCAAATATGTTAAAAACATTAAACAACTTCTTTTCAATAACCAAAATGCCCAGGGTGATGATATTTAGTCAGTAGCATACTAGGATCAAGGGCTACCAAGTTTGTTTAAAGTGTCGTGGTTAACAGAACATGCTATGCCAGCTTTAAATGCAAGGCTTTAGAGATATATATAAATAAGTAAAAATGGGAAAAGAAAGGTTAAATAATAGAAGTCTTTGATGCCTTACCGCTGTTAAACGGCACACCTTGTGTACAAGCTAATTTATACCCTATAATTAGACCAGTTGTAAGGTGTTTCCTGGACATATTGATCTACGAACAGATGACATGGCCGTGGTGATATATAGAAATCTTTCTCTAGGAGCTGTTGATGTTTTTGTAGGGTTCTTCTCCACCAGTGTCTGGCTCGATTCTACACCCACTAAATGCAGTCGACAGTCGGAGTAAATGTCAAAGATGTGTGAAATCCTAGGTGACAGACTCACATCTAATTGATGGCCCTTCCAGGAATTAGGCCGTCTCTATGAGGATATTTTGTCAACTGCAAGCACCTGTCCCCTGTCACCTTCACAGTGAAACCATTGGTGAGTTTTGTGTGGTACTATAGTGATAATATTGTAGGTGTGACAACATTTTCTGATCATGTCTGAGAGAGATCTTCAATGGATTTGTGTATCTGGTATATAATTACTGTACATAACGACTGTGATAATTTATCTACATATATATCATGAATGATATGTTTTGTTGATTAACGAAAAGAGGAGTAATGTTTTATGCCTTTTTGTTGATTTATATAAAGGGAAATTAAGGGTGGCTTCGTGATCAATACGTACTAATTACATTTCAATGTATTTGGTGAATATTTTTTGACAATTTTTTTTTTCCATTGCAAAGCACTAGTGAAAATATGAAAGTGATCCATACAATTTGAAATAAGTATACCTAACTGTATAACATTAATTAAGAAACAAGTAACATTATTCTCAGGACAAAGATTCTTACATTGTAACAATACAGTTTGAACGAGTATCAAAATAGGGTTCTATTCACTTTGTTACCTTTTGTGACAAATTTGTCTTTGGGAAATCTTTGCAGTGATCTGTTGGAGAGAGAGACAAGATAATGCTATATTCAGGTGTCAGCACTGAAAATCTGTTAATTATCATAAACAAGAAATCTTCCTGACAAGTTTAACCATTTCACGACTAAAATTATATTTTCATTGTTATGCTTACAATCTTTACTTACTGCGGGCATCATTGTATGTCTGTAACCTCAATTTTAATGCGTAGTACAAAACAAGTTCTGATCTTATCATAATTTTTGTCTTGTAAGCTTGAGATTTAATGTCATCTTCTGCGTGATTGAACCATCTGTATTTGGTCACACAGCCACTGTAAAATGTCACCTGATGTTTCGATACAGGTGCACCTGGTGACTCGGACAGATGTGTATCAGCTTTGGTTATCTTTTTGTCTGACAATTCTGCGGTTGAAAAAAATGATGAGAGAGCGCTGTTAGTGTTTGACTGCTTCACAGAGCTGTCACGGTACACTTTACCCACGATTCGATACGTATCTCGATATTTGTACCACGATTTGATTATTTCGATGAGATACACCTTTATTTTAAAATATCAACAAAATGAGATATATCAGCCGTCGATACACGGAAACTCGAAGTGTTTCCACACTTTTTGATTTGAAGCTTGCCGGAGCATCAAACATTTTCATTTCCTTACTGCGGTCCGCCATTTTGTTATGAATGCTTTGTGAAAATTGCATCCTCGCAGCCGATTGGCTGTGGGTTTAGAGATCAGCCAATGCAATTTAACGTCATACTGACGTTTCGGCTGAAGCGGCATACACTTATAATCAGATCGTGACGTATCGAAAATCCGGAAAAATATATCGTGAATCAAATTGAACATAAATAATCGCGGTACAAGTGCATCGCGGTGAATCGTGACACCTCTACTGCTTCATTGTAGTAGAACAAAAATATCAGATAGAAATGGTTCAATGTTTTTTTTCTTTTTTTCTTAAAATAAGCATTGACTTTGAAAATTTGCCATGTTGATAACTCATTCATCCTGAAGACACATTTAAACTCTTCCAATTCAATGGTTGGAATGGTTCATTTTGAAACTTCAGGGGTGAATGAGTTAATACCTAGTTGGAACTGTTGTGTGTTTAATTTAGAGTTTGGAGGTCCCACTGGTTCGAATCCAGGCTTGACAGTTGTATTTTCACCGTTCCTGTTACATCATTAAAGGCCCTTTTAAGAATTGCATACTCTCAAAAACAAGGCAGTAATTCTTCTTGGCGACACATTGTTATACACAAATGTAGTAAAAGTGGAGGAAATCAATTCAAAATTGGATAGAATTAAGTTCAAAGATATATACAATTGAGTCAAAGTCGGAAGCGTTGTACAGAATGAAAACTGATTAATCCTGGAAGATTATAAACCACAGAGAAATTAGTGTCGGGTTTAATGCCTGAAGTATTTGATACCATTATCAATGGACGTACATCAGCCTTATTGAATTTACCGGAGTTAATTTCTACACTACTACTGGAACGGATAAAGACATCAAGGTACAGCTTTCAGGACCCATTACTAATCAGTAGGATCGATAGATCCTTATCATCAAGCTAGTTCAAACATGAAAGGCTTATGGTTTGCCATATTAGATCAAATAGTTAAGGAACATCAGATAGAATTTTCATTGTTTAACTCGGTTCAGTTTGTTACTACATAATTACTGGGCTAAGTCTTCCTCACACCCTGATGAAAGGGAGCAGGCCATTATATGGGCTGCCTTTGACTATTAACTCTTTATTAACTGTAATATTGTAGGTGTTTAAAGTAATGCCAAACTTGCCCCCTGAGTTGAATATATTATTCTCAAATTAAAACCAAGGCTACATTTAACTCATTTACACCTGAAATTTCATAATGAACTATTCCAACCTTTGAATTGGAAGAGTTCAAATGTGTCTTCAGGGGTGAATGAGTTACCTGTAATGTCCTGGACAAAATTTTGGATGACAATTGTTAAATAGCTACATGAAGTGCCATAACATATTGCATGAAAAAAACTTTACCATGTTCAAAAGAGAAAGGATAATACATCTTTAAGAAATCTGAATGAACAAAATTGGGTGGACGAAGAAAAGGGCAAAATTAAAGACGTCTTTTATGTAAGGAAGATGTATTGCCATGGATGAAAATAGTACTTTTTCTATTTATGTTGTAACAAAACAGAATAGGTCTAGACCTATCATCTAATATACAGTAATGCTAACATTAACTACAATATTCCCTCTTTCTTGCTCCTATCAGGGGTAATCAGTAACCGAACATAACAGGCCTAAAATAAAGTTTAAAATATGATCTATACCATGTCCTTACCCTCAAATCTCGTGATTGGCCACTGGTAAGATCATCATAAATACAGGTAACACTGAATGTAACAACCTCTACTCACTTTATTGCAACTGAAACCTTTCTGAATTCACATTTTACCTTCCATATCTTGCCTCCATCCATTACCATTAGGATATGACCTTGACCTATTTCAAGGTCAAAGGTGTCAAATTTGTTAAAAACTCAAATGTATTCTTTTGAATAACCAAAAAGTCTTTAATCATGATTTTTGTACTCTATTCAAGGTCACTTTGGTCGAATTTGTCGAAACAATTAAATTTCTTCTTCCGAAAGTCATGATCGGCCATTAACTTGCTGGCGTTGAATGTGAAAAGTTTGGCAAAATGCAATTACCTGGACTCATCTTCAAAGTTGTAGGTCAAATTTGTTTAAACAGTTCAGTAACTTCTAATGAAAAAGGCACAAAAAGATATGGTCTGTGGCTCACTGACTCGGAGTACTTTATACTGAGCATAAAGATATTAAATTACCTAGCTAACCTGAACTATATTCATGGTCACAGGGGTCAAATTTGTCAAAATCCTCCAAAATATTTGTAAAAAAGTAGATACATGACATTTCAAACTGGCCAGTAATTTTCTGGCATTGAGTTAACTTACGCAATTATTTTTTCTTTTGGTCTTACCTCGCCTGTGACGGATGTCGAGAAGCCGGGACTTAGGTTTTACTTTCCAGGCGGCGGTGGCGGCGGCGTCAACGTTAAGTTTTTGAGTTTAGCTCTGTTTCTCAAAAAGTATAGGTTCTAGACCAACCAAACTTGGACCATACATGGGTCTTATACATTTCATCTCAATCCTTGCATCATATGCTGAATGTGCCCTACATTTCGCGGTCCAGTGATCATGACTTTGACAACATCTTCATCAATGTTAGGTTTTTGTTTTATGCTGTATCTCAAAAAGTTAAAGTGTTGGACTAAATAAACTTGGTCTGTAGTTGTTTGAGACATCATGCAGTACAAATCATGCATCATATGCTGTATGTGGCCTATATTTCACGGTCCAGTGACATTGACAGCATCTTCATCAATGTTTGGTTTTTATCATCCGCTTTCACCAAAACAGGGGATGTCTGTCTGTCTGTCTGTCTGTCTGTCTGTCTGTTACGCTTCGTTACTGTGCAATAACTACAATAAATATTAACCGATTTTCTTCAAACTTGGTCACAGGGTTAAATGCCTTAAGGGGCACCTGCCAAGATTGATGACCACTTTCAGTGGACCCCATTTGGCAGAGTTATGGCCCTTTGAATAACAAAAAAGTCATTATCTCCTGTGTTTCGTTTCCGTGCAAAAACTACAACAAATGTTAACCGATTTTTTTCAAACTTGGTCACACGGTTAAATGCCTTAAGGGCTCGGTCAAGTTTGATGACCACCTTCAGTGGACCCCATTTGGCGGAGTTATGGCCCCTTGAATAACGAAAACGTCATTATCTGCAGTTTCCGCTTAATAACTCTAGCAAATATTATCCAAATTCCTTCAAACTTGATAACAATGTTTGTGTTTCTCTGTCTTTCCACCCATCTCAGGCAATCTATGGTTTTTGTGTGATAATTGCTGTAGATATTGTTCAGATGTTTCAACCGAATTCCTTATGCACATCCGACTCATGCTAAGTTTGACAACCGATGTGATTTGTGGATATTTACGGATAATCAATGAGATATAGGACTTTTTTTCCCTCCAAGTTTCAAGCTATACATTATGTCTCAACTGCACGATACTCACATGTTTAAACCTAACCTCAATACTGTTACCGTACAATATGTCCTGCGAACGGGGGATATAAATTCCACGAATTTGCTTTTTGCGTTTAGCTTACTGTTTTATATATGCTGTATCTCAATTATTTAAAGTGTTAGACTAATTAAACTTAGACCGTAAGTTGGGATGATCATTACAACGTCAATGTGTCAACAACAAACATGGCCGCAGTGTCCTGGGGCTGATTGGTCGAAATTCAGATATTTTTCGATTTCACTCAAATTTTATATGTAGATGTATTTTGGCACTGCCAACTCAGCCGCAGCAATCGTTTTCTGATTTGATAAAATGACTGCCGTATATTGGGATCTGATTGGTCGAAATTCAGTTACTGTTCGATTCCGCTCACATTTGCTATATAGGTGTATCTTGGCACTACAAACACACAACCTTGACTGTTTCCTGATTCCTGATTTGACAAAATGGCTGCCTTATACTGGCTTCTGTCAAATTTGGTATGTATATTTATTTTGGCACTGCAAACTCATTCATGAATTTCATTTTATTGTTGGACAAAATGGCCACTGTATATTGGCTTATGATTGGTCGAAATTCAGTTATTGTTCAATTTCGTCAAAAATTGATATGTTAGTGTATTTTTGCACTGTGAACTCAACCGCAACATCTGTTTTCTGATCTGACAAGATGGTCGTCATATACAGGCTTCTGCATGATTGGTCGAAATTCACATATATTTTGATTTCGCTCAAATTTGGTATGTACGTGTATTATGGCACTGCGACTTCCATTCTCCAATTTACATTTGTTTTTGTAAAATGCGGGGAAGTTTGGTGGACATCTGTAATTGCCGGCTCCAATTACAATTAGCACTTGTTCCTTTTATACCTCCATGTTGATGTATTGCCAAACTTGTTTATAAAATGTAAAATTCTGAACTTCGACTCGAACTTACAATGCTTGATACATTGAATCTTATGCTCAAAGAGGGGACAGGTACAGACATCTCATTACGCGTAATTCTTGTGTAAAAAGGTCATGGCTCAAAGTTGCCCAAACACTCGATCAACTTAAATAAAATGCAGAAGATTAAGACTGACGTCTGAACCTTGGTAAAGAGCCAAAAGTCGAGGATTAGGTTTAGCCAGTAGCTTGTTGGCATGGAATGCTACAAATGTAAAAAAAAAGGAGAATAAAAAAAAATATAAAGTGAGCATCTAAAGGCCCATTGGGTCTCTTGTAATGTTTACTCAGCTTGTCAGTTGCAAGATGTCCGTACTTGGTCCATAATCACTTTTGCATCAATTCAGTATAATTTAATTATTTATTTATTTTACGAGGATTACAAACAGCCCGAAGGCTACTAGATGCTCTCCTCTACATATATCAAACATACAATATGTACAATTACACAAAAGACGTACAAAAGTCGCACACACTTGCACTCACACATACACACATTACAGAGAGAGAGAGAGAGAGAGAGAGAGAGTCAGAATCTGTTTGAATTTACGATTTATTCAACAACATGGTCAAACAATGTTCTGTTCTCAATTTCGTTTAGAGTTTCTAATCTACATAAAATTGTTTTGACAAGAACATTTGGCATGAGCTCTACAATAAGGTTGGAATTGATATTTGGAGCGAATATTCAGTATGTTTGCATGCATTCATATATCACCCTTATTTATTGCAGCACAAATACCAGCCTCAATGCATATCACATTTTTTTTGTCACGACCTATTAACTGTAAAACACTTGTGATAAGACTGCATGCATTGACCTTCAACCAACACATGACATTTTTAGGTCACCTGGTCCAAAGGACCAAGGTGAGCTTATGCCATACAGTGGCGTCAGTCATCCGTCCAAAAAAGTTTATTAATTGGAAACGGTTGAGATCACCACCAAATAACCATATATACAATTGCTGAGTATAAAGAGAAGAATGCACAATTGCTTCCAGGATGGCCCTAGGGTCTAGCCCCACCCTTGGAGACATATATACTAGTCCCTAGGCCATAACTTTAAAACGTTTGAGATCCCCACCCCAAAACTATATATACGAATGCTGGGCATAAAGAGACGAATGCAGTCATTATATTATAGACCCTGGGGTCTGACCGAACCCCTAGGGACCTAGTTTCTTAGTCACAGCTTGGAAACAGTTGAGATCCCCACCCTATAACCATAGATACAATTGCTGAGTATAAAGAGATGAATGCACATATGCTTCCAGGATGGCCTTGGGGACTGCCCCATCCTTGGAGATTTAACCCCTGGGTCATAACTTCGAAATGGTTTAAAAGATCCCCACCCAAAAACTATATATACAATTGTTGGGCATAAAGAGACGTGGGAAGTCATGATATTAGAATTGATCCTGGGGTCTGGTCACAACCCTAGGGACCTAGTTTCTGAGTCGCAGCTTGGAAACAGTTGAGATCCCCAACCCATAACCATACATAAAATTGCTGGGCATGAAAAATCTAATACAGAGCTACAAGGATTGGCCTTGGGGTCTGGCATATTCCCTTGGATCTCATTTTGAGAATGTTTTGCCATGATTGCTTAGATATCCAGGTGAGCGATATTGACATTGATAGAAAATTAGCAACCTTGTAGAAAAGAATTAACGTTGTACATTCAAAGGAAAATTTAAATTAAGTTGTTACCAGGCAACAAATAGAAACATAGGAGTTCAAGATTGCTAGATGCTGGTTTGTTGATGATTTATTCTCATGAGAGGTATACGTTTCACAGTTTGACCTATTTTCACAGGAGGTGTACTATCAACCGATCAACTGATTCTCATGAGAAGCGTTCTGTTTACAGATTAACTTATTCTCATGAAAGTAATAAAACTAGTTTGTAAAATAATTATCACCAAAAGTGTTGCATTTACAGATTAACAAGCAAATTCTCATTCCATTTGATGCCCTTATAGGTACTGTCAAGAGTGCCGTTTTGCGTTTGACTGTTAGTGAGGAGCGTAACTGTGTGGTATATAAGTTTAAAAGTTGTGGATTAATTAGGTTGCCTTACAAGCGTCAGCTGGAGGGAATTTCCCTTTAGCTCAGCGGTAAAGCATCGGGCTGGAGAGCCAAGGGTCGCGGGTTCGAGCCGTTATCACTATTCCTCGACCTATTACATAAGTACCTTACTCTGTGTTTAGTTCACCAGTGTGAATGGAGTTGACAGAAATTAAGTCATGACTAGAAAAGAACGAGCAATTCTATAAATTTTAAATGATTTGAAAAAAGAGGCTTCACTAATAATTTACGCTAAAATTGTAATTTTTTCAAGGTAACATTTTAAAGATTTTCGATTCTTCAATCTATCCAGATTATGGAAATGTTTAGTTGTCATGTTCTGCGATTGTATTTTATGGTGTGTTGTAGTATTTTCGCATGTATATTTTTGCACTGATTTAGCACTGGAGAAATAATCAATGGTGTGGCCATGACAGGGCACACAGGGAGACTGGATTTCAAGCAGTTTGGGTCTGTATCCAAACAATTAGTATGTAAATGTGTACTTCTGTGGCAGGTTTAAATTGTACATAGGATTAAGGTCGCCTTCTAGCTTCGAGCTAGAGGGAATTTCCCTTTAGCTCAGTGGTAGAGCGTCCGACTTGGAACCTGGAGATCGAAGTTTCGATCCCCGGTGGAAGCACACTTTTCTGTTACACTTCTAAGTCTACACTGGAAAACGGGTTCTCAACAATGTGAAACAGCGTTTTTACAAAAATAAAATTGTTTGAGTGGTGACACTAGTACAGTACTGCACTGTCAGCCTTAATAATACAGTTATACATGTCATGTTTATTGATACATTTTTTATATATAGTGATACTGATATTTTTGTATATATTCATTGTAACTCCCCAGGGGAAAAAAAGGTACATTTGAGGTACACTTTTTGGGGTACCTAAGGCATGCCTTAGGTACATTTTTGGTAAGGAAGAAAAAGAGGACAGAATAGGAGGGGTTAAAACCTGTTCAATATAGGTACATTTTAGGCACATTTTAGGCACATTAAAGGCATGCCTAAAATGTGCCTTTTTTATACCTCTGACTGAGGTATACCTAAAATGTGCCTAAATCGTACCTCTGACTGAGGTACGTATACCTTAAATGTGCCTAAATCGTACCTCAGACTGAGGTACGTATACCTTAAATGTGCCTAAATCATACCTCAGTCAGATGTGCCTAAATCGTACCTCAGTCAGAGGTATACCTAAAATGTGCCTAAATCATACCTCTGACTGAGGTATACCTAAAATGTGCCTAAATCGTACCTCTGACTGAGGTACGTATACCTAAAATGTGCCTAAATCATACCTCAGTCAGAGGTATACCTAAAATGTGCCTAAATCGTACCTCTGACTGAGGTATACCTGAAATGTGCCTTGATACGAGGTACATTTAAGGTATGCCTAAAAAATATCTATCCTTACTGGGATTAAATTCCTACTATCCCTGCTAACTTTTTCAGAAAATAACTAGTCAAGATTTTTGCAAACAATATTTTATTGTGATACATTTACTGATTTCTAGTTGAAACAGTACAAATTCAAATAATCATAAGTTAAATAAATTAGAACCTATATAATATAGACAGATATACACACTGACAAAGTGATAATCTAAAAAGTAATGAAGTAACTTGAAGATAATTATTACTGATGAAGTCTTTTGCATGTAAATTAAAATATTTAAAAATTTGTTAACTATTACTAAATGGGATACAAACTTTCGATAATTTAAATTTATTCAAATTTGCTTCATAGAATAATATATATACAAACGCATCATAAAATAATATAAATGGGATAATCCCTTACAGTTATACATTTTCATCTGTTCATAAATCAAAAGAGGTTTTTGGGCTTAATAAACATAATGTTTAAATTCGAAACTAGATGGAGTATTGAAGTTCAATCATTTCATTTGTTGTCTCTGGGACTTTTGTAAAGAAGAAAGAATTGAATATGAACATGTGATGATGTGCATGTGTCAAAAATATTCGGGCAAATATATATAAGTATCATATCATATATTAAACATATATGCCCAAATTAAGTCAGCAAGTACTGTAACTGTCCTCATTAAGCTTCTGATGGTGGCGGATAGGGTCACAATCTTCTGGGAATTCAGGAGGGATTATACTGAAAAAAAATAATGATCAAATTAACTCAATAACAAAGTAAAGGAAAATGTAATAGTTCATGAATTGCTTGTCAGGTTTGAATAAATTAAGTAATTATACATACATGTAGATATATATGGGGCATATATATATATACAACAAGGTTTAAAATTGAAGCAATCAGATCAACAGCACTTAAATATATTTTGGTATGAAAATTGAAATAAAGGCCATGCCTAAATATATATATGGCGAAACACCAGTCTCATTTTTATTGTACCTCGGGAGTAATACAAACAGTTTTTTAAACAAAGGGACATAGCTCTATAATTGGGAGAGGACCCCCGATTTATATACTGTATTGTTTAAAAGGTATCACTTAAATTGGTGAAGTAATATGGAAGGAGTAGTGAATTTATTTTCTAAACAAAAGGAAAAATATTTCTATTAATATGGGAGTTGACTTTATATATAATTCACAAATGGTCAGTTAGAATGAAATGCTTATTAAGTATATTGGTGCAGTACTTTGAGAGGAATAGTGTAAACATGTCAAACGAGGGGACATAACTCTATAATGAAGGGAGGGAACATCGCTTTGTTTATGTTATTGCCATCCCCTCTTTGTTACAAATGCAAGTATCAGTAAAGTATTTTGACTGCGTCTGATGATGTAAATATGTTTAGGAACAATGAGAGGCCTACACACCCTAAATCTAGGATAATGTAATTAGCCATAATGTTTAGAATGCAAAGAAAAAAGATTGGGGCTCATATCATTGAAAGTGTTCAGCTGCAGACCCAGAATTTAGTTTGTATGTGCTAAGATAATATTGCTAAAATATGTACGACCACATCCCCTTTGCATGAGCTGGTGACCAAAAGTTAAATGAAAATTACCATCTGTGACGTCCATATCTTTCTGTTGGTTTAATGAAGGTCCTTCAGCATCTGAAGGGTCTGAATGAAAGAAAATCAAGAAATAAGTATATATCCTGCTGTTTCACATAATCAAACTATTTGATTAACAGAGCAACTGCAAGTAGAAATGATGAGCAACAACACCACTGAATCCGGTACAAGATGTTATGTTTGATTTACATCCTACGATTAACAATCAAGAAACATCTTGAACTTAAAGTGAAAGAATGATAATATTTCATATCAATAATGAATAGAGAGGTTAACAAGATTTCCCATATGGTAAACCAAAACAAAATAATTTCTTTATTTGTTATTAAATATCTACTCAAAAAATGAATACACTGTGGCAAATCAAATCAATTTTTGGAGTGTATGCTATAACAGGGGGTCGAGCGTCTGAGGTGTGTTGCGCCAGGGAAATTAAAGGAGGGAGAGAAAAAAGAACTCTACTAGACCCTAGATGAAATCTCACGTATTCTGGGAAATCCTTTCAGTCTGAACTTTTAAGATTTTTCAATGTGTATAGACATATATAACAACACTATATTTTATTTAGGTAAGTCAGGAAGATTTGATTAAATCTGTTATCTATTTATACCCTCACCCCCCTTTCTCTCTCCCCCTCCCCGAATCCTCGATTTCACTGTGATATGTTTCATCAATTTGTTTGTTTTTTAATGTACCTATATATCATCTTTCATGCCATCACGTGACCTATTTGGAGAAGTCATCTATAAGTTTGAAAAACTTACTGACTAATCAATCATATTAATAAAATATTTTTGATTTTTTTTTTTCCAGGCTAAAATGTTCAAGAAGACTTTTTTTCCTTTCCTTTTTTCTTATTGATACAGACAGTCCATAATGATCATAAAATAAAATATTGAAAATATATGATAAAAAGAATATCTTGAAAATTTAAATGTACGTATACAGGGATGTGTATGCACATAATTAGATTATGATGTAACATGATGAAAATAACTAAGCAAGTACATGTCTGCTGTAATTAGTGGAATAATATATCAGAAGAAAATCTGTGATGATCTGCAATTTTGAAGATATAGAGGGGTTTGACTGGTGTATAAACAATGAAAAACAATGAAGAATAATCTCTTATGAACATGACCAATTGGGTGAAGTATTTGATCTAAATTTTTGTCAAAACAATTAAAAGTTACATTGATGAAATTTTCACATGTAAACTTACGTAATGGCCGCCATGTTTGCCGGCGAGGTCTGGGATAAGTGAATCGATTTCGTCGCCGTTTGTGTAGAAAACACATTCTGTTCTGACTTCACCATTCAATGTCTTGTTCTCAGAGACTGGATACTGGTAAACTTCAGCATAACATGAAAATACTACCGTAAAATTGAAGCGTTTTGAGATCGACCAGGTTGTTTACATTCGCAGCATATAGGTCGTGGGTCAAAGTTGAATTAAATGATGAATAAATTTCCCGCTTTGGCTAATTTAATGGTATTGCATCATGGGAAAATAGTTTTTACATACGAGGAATGACGATTGAACTATTCACGTCTTCGCGTTACTTTCCAGCCCCCTCCCCATTTTATTGTATTTGTGAATGATATAATTACTATATTAAGTGACAGATAGGGGGCCTATAGACACGTTGTGTCGTACGCAATGAATCCGCGCGTTTTCTCTATTCTAAAATATACTTCTGGGTTATGGCTTCACATGGCTTCGGCGGACTCGGTATAAATGGCTCATTCACAATGCAATTAACATGAAAATTAAAAGAGTCCCCTATCACATCAACAATATAACACTAATATATTGTTTGAAGCGCCGTCTTAATGTTGGCTGTTCGCCGACGAAAATACATCGACGTCGAAAAGAAACACAATTTTAACATTCCTACGATCTTTCCGACACGTTTTCAAACATCAGTTCAAGAAATAGAAATGCAAGGTATAAACACACGCTTGTAGTTACTACTTCAGAGTTAAACAGTTTGCATAGTATTTCGTAGCGTCTAAGACATGACCAATTTTTTAAAACTTCCATTGTGTAGTTTAATTGTTTTCGTTTTACATTTTAATAAATATGTCACTCTAATGTGTCGTTGAAATCTTTCAATAATGTCTTTCTAGCTGTTGGGACTGAAAGTTAAATGCAACAATGACTGAAACAGAAATGTGTTTTATGAATTTTCTGTTTTATATAAGACAGACACGTGGTTTTACATGTCTCTGAATTAGACCATGTAAATTCACAGAATTCAAGTTTATTTATTCATTCGTTTAGCTTGTTATATAATGTTTATTTTGCAAATGGCATTCAGAAAAGACATATTGATGGTTAATTTTATATAAAAAAAATAATCATTAAAAGTATATGTCAAATCTGGAAAAAAAGTTGAAAAGAACATATTTGAAATGGGCAATTTTGCAGTATTGAGAACAAGTTCAAGTCCAAATGGGGCACATTTGAGGTACGTTAAAAATAATCAAAGTCTAAAAGTGGCACATGTGAAAAATCAGAGTCCAAATGGGGCACATTTGAGGCACATTGATAAAAATAGAGTTCAAATGGGGCACATTTAAGGCATGTGGAAGAAATCTATAAGTCCTAATGGAGAACATTAGAAAAATCAAAGTCCAAATGGAGCACATTTGAGGCACATTGATAAAATTAGAGTCCAAATGGGGCACATTTGAGGCATGTGGAAGAGACCTTAGTCCAAATGGGGCACATTTGAGGCACATTGATAAAATTAGAGTCCAAGCGGGGCACATTTGAGGTATACTTTAAAAATACCCCAGAAGTAGAGGTACATTTTAGGCATGCCTAAAATGTACCTCGGGTCAGAGGTACATTTTAGGCACCTTTTAGGCATGAAAAAGGCATGCCTCAATGTACCTTTTTTTAGCCTGGGTCTGGGCTATTGTTAAAGCAACTGAAATACCCCTATTACATAATCCACATAATTGTTAGTGAGATATTTGTTTTCATTTAATTTGCATAAAGGAACTCTTTTAATGAAGTTTTCTAAGAGGTATGTTTAATGCTGAAATATTTTTGCAAACTTCGCCTTCCAAACTATCATTCCTTTAACATTTCTATTCAAAGTAAGAACCTTATAGTGAGATGCATTTGTCATATACATATATTTACATTTGCGCTTCAACCCAATATATCACATTACCAGCAGAAATGCATTTTATTTGAGTATGAAAGCAAAAACTCTCGTCACGTAACAAATGGCTTACTTATGACGTCATAGATTAAGCTTGTTCATTGAGAGTCTTGTACAGTTGTGGGATCGCACAACGTAACACGATGTGCGGTGTGCGCACGATGTGTGCACGGTGGGCGAACGATAAAAAACTGGACGATCATTGCTTGCGCACTTCTGTGCGCACAAAGGACAGACGTTGTGCGATAACAATCGTGGTTGGTGTAAATTGAGGAATGCCTTAACAATTTATACGGTTTCGTGTTTAAACATATAAACTTGGTGTTTACGTATGTTTCTATATTCTAGCAACATCTGTAAACTTATCTTTCTGTCTATACATTCTTCTATTTAGAAATTATGTTTTCTGTGTTTTTAAACAAACTTAATCGACACATGTAAAATTACAACACAATCCCGTATCAGAGACGTATGATACGTATTATACGCCTCTGCCCGTATACAGGTAAACATAACCACTTTATACATGTACCTGGACCATAGTTTTCTCCCCGCCTGGGGCACTTACGTCGGTAAGGCCGGGGGTGTGAAAATCCAGGTGAAGGGGAGCTATAGGCAAATGAATGCAAATAACAAATGTATTACGGTCAAACGGTATCGCATATCAGCTCTGTGTCAGGCACTGGTCAGGTAAAACTCCGGACACTCATAAAATTGTTATTTACCTGTTCTGTTACCTTGGAGCCAAACCCATTCTTGACAGCCTAACAGTCGCTGTAATTCTGTGTAACACGCATTGTGAAATTGTATAATTTTGATTACTGTGATGGGAAATTACAGATATATACACAGTGTACATTATCGCAGCATACAAGCCTTCCGTATTTTTGTCATTCAGTAATTTTGATCTACAAATGATACCAAATCGCATAGTTGTGCGGAGAGAATTAAGCGCACAACGGGGCGAACGATTGCTAAATCGCACAGTTGTGCGCACCATGTGTGGACGATGTGCGGACAGTGTGTCAACGATGTATGCACGGTGTGCGCACGCTATTTTTGGTGCGTTGTGCGGTCCCACAACTGTAGCTTCGCTTCAGGTAACAAGGAGAATGCCCCTGCGTCAAACACTCAAATGACTACGGTGTATTATTGGCGCCAATTTTGTTTAAATAGGGCTGTTCCAACAATATCATTGAAAGGACGGCGCATGTACATATTAGTATCTATGCTGCATGTAATGATGACTCGTCATTTCATTGCTTTGTCAGCGTAAACAACACTGAGTCACGGTCGTCAAAACGCTTGAATGGGTCTTTCGAGGGGGGATTTCTGCGCATCAAATTTGCGCTGGTTAACAGTTGGCTTTGACCAGGAAAACACTTTTGACTGTTTCACCCCTATAGCCGAAATTGGACAAAAGGCCAGAAACAGTCAAAAATGACTAATTATAATTTATATGGACTATTGGGTAATTATTACAGTTATACTTCTCATGTTTATTGATACATTCTTTATAGTGACATTTTTGGGAAGAGTTTGGAGGTGGGTGGGTTGTTAGATGATCTAGGGATCTGACAATAGGATTAAAAGAATACAAGTACTATATCAGCTTTACAAAATAATGGGTTTATTAGTCACCTTATTTTTAAAAGGGGAATATATCTCTTGATGGGTTTATTAGCTCACCTGCCCGCTGCCATGGTGTGGTGTCCGTCTGTCCGGCGTCAACTTTTTACTTAAACAACTTCTTTTCAGTAACCAAAAAACCTGGGATATTTTGAACGACTTCTTCTGAAGAACCAAGAGGCCTAGGGTGATGATATTTGGCCAGTAACATGCTGGGATGAAGGGCTACCAAGTTTGTTCAAACAAATGACCTCCTCTTATTTCCAAGGTCACAGGGGTCAAATATGTTTAAAACCTTTAAAACAATTTCTTCTGAACACCCAAGAGGGAAAGGATAATGTTATTTGGCCAGTAACATGCTGGGATGAAGGGCTACCAAGTTTGTTCAAACGAATGACCTTCATCTACTTTCAAGGTCACAGGGTTCAAACATGTTTAAAACTTTTAAACAAACTTCTTCTGAACTACCAAGAGGCCTAGGGTTATGATATTTTGCAAGTTAGATGCTGGGATGAACGGCTACCAAATATGTTCAAATGAATGAACTTCGCTCATATCAAAGGTCACAGGGGTCAAATATGTTAAAATCTTTAAACGTCTTCTGAATAACAAAGAGGCCTAGGGTGATGATATTTGGCCTTTAGCATGCTGGGATGAAGGGCTACCAAGTTTGTTCAAACAAATGACCTTCACCCATTTTCAAGTTCACAGGGGTCAACTATGTTTGAAACCTTGAAAACTACTTCTTCTCAATAACCAAGAGGCTGAGGGTTATAATATTTGGCCTGTAGCATGCTGGGATGAAGCGCTACCAAGTTTGTTAAAATGAATGACCTTGACAATTATTCAAGGTCACAATGGTCAAATATGTTTAAAACCTTTAAACAACATCTTTTCAATAACCAAAAGTCCTAGGATGATGCTGTTTGGCCAGTAGCATGCTAGGATGAAGGACTACCAAGTTTATTCAAACAAATGACCTCAACATATATTAAAGGTCACAGGGGTCAAATATGTTTTAAACCTTTATAAACAACCTCTTCTCAAAAGGCTAAGGGTGATGATATTTGGCCATTAATATGCTGGGATAAAGGACTACCAGTTTTTAGCTCACCTGGTCTGAAGGACCATGGTGAGCTTATGCCATACCGCAGCGTCCGTCGTCCGTCCGTCAACTTTTCCTTTAAAACGCTACTTAATGTCATGAACGACTGAGCAGATTTTGACCAAATTTAGTCAAAAGCATCCTAGGGGGAAGGGGAACAAATTTTGTATAAATGGTGGGTCTGTCCCCCCTGGGGGCTGAGGGGAAATATAGCAAATTCTTTAAAATCCTTCTTCTTCTTTAGGAATGAAAGGATTTGTTCCATATTTGGTCTGAAGCATCCTTGGGTAAAGGGGAACCCATTTTGTATAAACCATGGGTGTGGCCCCCCAGAGGCCTGAGGGGCGGGGCCAAACAGGGGAGCATAGCAAATTATTCTTTAAAATCCTTCTTCTTCCGTAGGAATACAAGTATTTGGTCCATATTTA